GAGGGCTAGGCGGAGACTTAGGGGGGACAGAGCATTCTCTGTGGGGGCTCCTAAGTTGTGGAATGCATTGCCCCTTTACATTAGGCAGGCCCGCTCATTGTCCACTTTTAAAACTTATTTGAAGACTCATTTGTACCGTTTTGGCGTTCGAACCAGTAGGAGCCTCTGTCTTGTTGAGCTTTTTTGTTTTATGATGGGGGGTTGTTTTAGTGTGATCCTGTTTTACTGTTGTGTTTATTGCTTTTGCTTGTTTTATTGTGTTTTAACAGGTTTTAGTGATATTGTGTTAAGCACTTTGGTCAGCTTCGGCTGTGTTAAACGTGCTATATAAATAAAGTTGTTGATGATGATGATGATATGTCATATGCCCAGTTAGGAAACGTGTTTCCCTGTACAATGAAATTCTTACGTTGCCGTCCACATGAATGCCATAACAATACAAGTGAAATATAAAGCAGATGAGCAATAACACAAATCTAAATAGGCAGTAACACAAATCCAAACACTTTAAAGCAGCAGGTGAAGGAAGCAATAAAAATACAATAAGAACACAATATAATGCAATTATGCATGTCCAAAATGAGCATGTAAACGGTACAGATGGAATTACATGAGGTAGATCCTGAGTCAGCTGTTTAGGAGTCTGATGGCAGATTAGGTGGGAACCGATGACTACATAAAATTGTTAACATCAAGATCAAAGATTTTTATTGTCAATTCATTATATGTGCAGGACATACAGAAAATCGAAATACCATTTCTCTCACCTAGTATTGAATGCCATCCCATTTAGGAAACTAAAATATAACTAGAGAAATGCATTTCCTATCGAAAATGCGTGTGGATGCTATGTGCTGAAGGATCACTCTGAAAATGCTGAACATTTTGACAGCTGAAAGGCATATCTACCTTAAAGTATGCTGAAGTACAATTTTCCCATTAATTTGAATGGGGGGAAATTTTCAAAATAAAGCTAAATATTTCAGAAGTGTGAAGTGTATAAAAATTCTGAGTCGAAGCATGAAAGTCCTGGGAGACTTGAACATTTACCTGTTATGGTTTAGTCCCCCTCACCAGACTTGTCAGCCAGTGACTCAAAAATAAAATAAAACACACAGAGACATGTCCCAATTGACAAAATTTATTTCCAGTGTTTCAGGGGTCTGTGCACACCCCTCTCACAATCAGAGGAACACAGCATTAGTACAAATGGTCCAATTCAATGAAGTGTTTCCTCCTGCAGGAACCTCTCTCCCACAACTCTCACACAGGCCACATGAGCATTATCAACATCATCGTCATCATCACAATACTGTACTTAATCCTGCAATTTGATGGATATGAAAAGTAAAGCAGCTAAAACATGGCATTTATATGTACATTTAAGTTATTTATTTTACAATATTTAAAATTCAAGTTCTGTTAAAAAAAGAAGAAGAAAAATCAGAAAAACAATGTATAAAACATCTTAAGACCAGAGTGGAATGCCTAAGGAATGGAAGCTCTGTATTTTGTTACAACATAACCTGTAGAATGACTGAGTCAACAATAAAAATGTCATTCACAGTAACATTTTTGTGTATCTCAGCAAAGACACAATGGCACCCTTCACGTTTCCTTGTGAGGTACTTCCTATTATGAAGATTTTTTTGAATTTCATTACCCATTTTCTTTATCTTCCAGGTTTTCCTCCCATTTTGCAATCTACTGACACACGTGTGAACCACAAACACCAAAACAGCATAACATTTGCATCAGAGGGATGTTGTTCACTGCTCGTAAAACCAAGTAACTGGGATGAGTAAGAACTGTTACCATTTGCATAAGTCCAGTGTTTCCTGGTCACCTTTGTACCTTTGGAAAGGCCCATTTGACAGCAGAGCGCTTGTAGGCAGTCCACACACAGGCTGTACCAAAAACACAATTCAAGTACACAGAAAAATAGGGTTATGTACACTTTAGAATGAAACACAAGCATCTAAAGCTTTTAGTCAGTATGACAGCAAATATATCTGTACATTCTTCATTTGGTTACTGAGAGACTCTGTGACTTTGAACGTTGCAACTTTCTTTACACAAAAATAGTTCCTCTGCAATACTAAATATCTGTACTTTACTACTTCCTATTCATTCTAAAAGCCAGTTCATACTCAAAGTCACTTAGCTCTGAGTGTTCACACTTCCTTGCACAGATTTCACAGACTCAATGTTTATGAGCAACAGCTCCTCAATCTTCGGCATAACAGGGATTTGTTTTACGAGGGAGGAGGTCCTCTTGTTGAGTCATTCCAAAGAGAATGACTATAAAAAACAAAACAAAAACAAAACAAAACAAAACAAAACAGAAATGAAGGTATAATCAACATTTTGTTCCATGCCTTATATATGAGAAAGATCAACGATCCCTGTGAGCACTAATTCTCATCTCACAAGCACACACACCAGTTACAGACACACACTAAAGAAGATTTTTGTACAGCATGCTCATTCACTAACACTGGTCACACAACAAACATTATACTGACAGACTCCCAAGTACATAAGTGCATACACATCTCACAGACGGAGAACATACACAATCACACGTCCAACCCTTCTCACAAGTACTGATAGAATCGCGAATGGACCACCTGGGAACTGGTGAGTTTATGTGGGTGAGAGGTGGCTGAAAGGCTCAGATTTTTACTCTGGGGGATGTCCCCATTCCACGTGTCAGCTGGACAATGTGGGAGTTCAGAAGAGGACGAGGCGCCGAGGTCTTGGGGGTTTGAGCTGCACAGCACCCCCTGCTGTTCAGGAAAGTCCAGGCTGACCTCAGGATTGCTGGTGCGGTGGCGTTCTCGGGCAATCCAGTCCCCGATGGAGAAATCCTGAGAGCTGCACTTAGGTTTCAGCCGGTCCACAGCGGACAGCTCCGACCGCTGCTGTGGCCAGTCTCCCAAAACAGATAGCTCTGCAAAATCCCTCTGACCGCCCATGGTGTGTCTGCGTCTGATGTTCTTTTTCTTACTGCGGCCCTCCGGGGACCGGCTCCTCTGAGTGCCCACACCAAACATGTCATCCACAGACACTCGCAGACGCACCTTGAGTCGGTCCGTGATCTTCAGTTTCCATGCAGGCTCTGTCTTATCCAGCTCACCACGTGATGAGGAACTGAGGCTGCCAGTAGAACGACCTTTAACCGACCCCAAAACATGCGACAGCCTGTTGGAATCTTTATCGCTCCGAGCTCCGTCCAGCGAGGACTCACTGTCAGTTTTCTGCTGAGCAGCTTTCTTTCTGGAGAGTGTATCACCTTCAATGAGTCTGTGGGAGGAGAGAGGTTGCAAAGCTTGCTGCAGTTCTCTTTGACCAGCTTTCCCGACAGTAAACACAGACAGGTCACTCTCACTGTCTGTCTCCATCACTCTTCCCTCGCTGATAAGTTCACTTCTCTCGTCGTCTGCATCATCTCCACCCCTGCTTTCAGCCACAGATTGCACTTCAGGACTGAGGGTGCTGAGCTCAGCTCCGGTCAGGAATGTCATGGAGGAGGTGGTGGAGTAATCAGAGGTAATGGAGCAAACCTCAGCTCCCAGCCCGCCGGGGCCTGCCTCTGGACCCAGAGCCACTGTCCTGCCATGCCTCACTCTGGGCACTGAAGCCTGAGAGCTGGTGCTGTTCATCGTTCCAAGGTCGGATACTGTGTCGTCATAGTTGGAGGGCGGGTCTGACAGAGAGGACTGGTGAGCCATCGGCATGCGGTAGCTGAGGTTTGGAGAATGGGAGGGTGAGGCATAGGGGGAGCCAGTTTGAAGGGTGGAGGAAATGTGTTCTGCAGGGGGGGAGGGAGTGGGCTGTAACATCAGGCTGCTGAAGATCGACTCTTCTCTGTTGGTTTCATCAAGCTGTTCCTCTGAGCTGTCCATGTGCTTCTCTTTCTCACTGGCTTCATCCATCTCCCCTTCCTCCTCAGTCCGACTGTCCGAGGACCACAGAAGCTGCCGCTCGGTCTCTTCCGGAAGCTCGTTCTTGGAGAAGACACCGTCCAGGTCATCGTCTGAACTGCTGGGATGAGTTTTGTCCTTGGGTTTCTTACGTTTGCGGCTGGCGAAGAAGGAGGAGCGTATCATCTCTTTGCTACACTGATCCTTACCTGACCCCCACAAGCCCTGCTGATACAGAAACAAAGCAGCATTAAAGACCTATCAAAGCAAAATATATGAATCTAAAAACAGCAAAGCCAAAGGAGTGAAGCATTTATGTGAAAGTAAATGAAATAAGAGGAACACGTTACCTTTGATTTAGAGGAGTCACTACATGCTGAATCTGTATTAAAGAGAAGAGAGTCATTAGTGAAAGACTGACATCTTTAACTGTCAACAGTTAAGATAAAGAAGAGAGGAGGCAGATTAAAAGTTTGTTCAGTGAAACTGATACAGTATGATGAGTAGAATGAGAGTAGCTCAATGAAAGCAGATGACATTTTTTCAAATCCGAGAGAAAGACAGAAACAGGAGGGCAAGGAACCACACTAAGCAGTATGTGGCAAATGCAGCAGAAAAGGCCTGAGGTGAAGAATGAGAGGGAAGGAAGTGAAAACCCGGCAGTAAACCAAAACACGAAAAGCAGCTCATGCTCGTGTTGATGAACGGCGGCACGTCAGAGACAAACACACCAGTCACAGAGCATCACATGTAGCCACCAACCAGCTGTAGGCATTCTTTCCCAACTTAAAGACATCACAGAGGCGAGGGAGCGATGAGTTTGCTCTGACTGATAGGGGTCTGAGCTGAACAGATCAGTGAGTGTGTCGTGGTCAATACAGCTGGTGCAGGCACGCCTTAGTGTAACAGACAGATTGCGCTTACTCCAAGCTAGATAAACCCCTGTGGTGCCCTTTAACATGTAGCCTGCCACTCTCAACAACATGAAAAGAAAAACAACAAGTTCACAAAACGTTTTCCTCATTGTTCAAAAAAGAAAACACGCAAACTACAGCTAATAAGAAATAAGAAAGCCTATAGCCCTTTTTGAACAAAAATTTCCAGAAACTACGGAGCCACAGGAACGCAATACGGGAACTAATAGTGGTTTCCCGGAAACAGCATAACTTGAGGGGCTGATATATAAAAGTCCTATCTGAGCACTCGTTTACTTTTGCACAGCATCTCAAGAGCTGGGCAGATTAGGCAAATTTAGACAGCAAACTAAAATACGACAGTAGTGTTTGAGATGCAATTTTCACACAAGAGGAAACAATACAGTCATTTTATTGTTGCTCTTTGTATCTGTTGTGGTACTGATATTTAAATAGATGTAATAAATTCGCACAAAGGAAAACAGCAGGGGTCAAAAAGAAGTCTCCAGAGTGCCTGTTCCAAAAGCAGATGATTTGCTGTGGGTTTTATGGTTTAATATTTGGGATTTACAGTGTAACTTTTTTTTTGTTGCTCTTGTTCACTATTCCCCTCCTCCTCTCTCCTTTGTGCTCCGAGGTCCTTTTGCAGTCTCTCACTGTATCAGTTTTTAGACTCCGGAAACTGACCACATGACCCTGTTTTTAACACCAGTATGACAATAAAATGTTCGATTCTTGTGTTATTTAGAAACCAACTGCACCAAGAACTTATTATTTGAATAGTGCTGTAGGTAAGTAGCGCGAGCAGTGCTCAGCACTGCAGACTTGCCCTGTAGGTTCAAGGGACATCAGAAAGTGCAATGCATGGAGGAGGGACTTTTTGGGTGCCAAAATTACAGCAAGAAACTAAATGTAGTGACTGATTTCTGTGGCTGAAACACAGGTAAGATTAGTGAAGTTCCTGAAATGGTTCCTGGGCTCCAGTAAGAATTCCTGTAGTGAAAATGGGCTATTGATGATCCAGATTAAGCTCAAAATGTGTCCGTCAGTGTACAGTATAATGCAGGGTTGGGTAGTGAGACTGTGAGAGAAATGTTAGCAAGTGATGCAGGTGTTACATTATACATACACTATGTATCAGTAGGAGATAAGGAGGTAATGTGGCAATGTGATGTGTTTTAATGTTGAGTGAAGAAAAAGATACTGAAATAAGGATATCATAAATGTTAAATCAAATGAAAAAGACACAAGAGAAGGCACCTGACACTAAACAATGACCTGCTGTGGCACATACGACTACATCTATATGCTTGGAGCTGCATTCGCTGATATCTGACTATATGTGTAACTTTGCATCAGCAAGTTATTAACAATTTGGGGACGTGGTTGCATGTGTGTTTGTGTGTAAACGCATGTGTGCTGGGGAACATCCAGCTCAGTCCCAAAACTACGACCCCACCCTCAAACATCATGACAGATTATGCCACATGACCGGGAGAGAACCTGAGGTTGACCGTACCATGCTACTTGTCCTTGCGATCAGCTTAAGAGACAACAAGAGACAGCAGAAGGGCTTTCAGAGAAAGTGCAGCAGCATTGCTCTGTATCCCCTCAATTTAGGGTATTGGTTTAAATATGGAGACGTGCACACCACAGGAAGAATGACAAACATCGACTTCTCTTTCTTTCTTTTTTATCTTTTTTCCTCCTTTCGCCCAAATTTAAAAGAGCTGGGGGTTTCTGCAGACTAGGCAGCTACACTGGGCACAACACTCGTCCTTCTTCCTACAGTCCCAGCTGTCCATCACTGACAAAACAGAGTCCATCAGTGACATCACCGAGTGATAGACGCCGCCCACTTGGCCTGTGTCAAGATTGGGTAATGTGTGAGTGCTGGACAGGAATAAGGGAGAAAAACAACACACTACACACAAAAGGGCAGAGGTCAGAAGGGTTAAAACTTCCATCATTTCTTTTTGTTTCTTAGATTTTCTTTGGGAAAGAACATGCCGGGATTATGTGAGAGACGAGGAGGAGGGGAAGAAAAGAACCGAAAGAAAAGGAGTTGTCGTCTCAACACAGGTAATGCACAGGGAGAAAAATGACTCAAGCAAAAGAAAAAGAATAAAGCAAACTAATGGACAAAAAGTAAAAACTTGAGGACAATTTTATCTCTTTGGGCAAAAAAAAAAGAAAAAAACATCAACATCAAAACAAAACAGGCTTATCTAAAATTAAATAAATCAATTAAAAAGGCTCGACTAAATGCAAGGAATTTTTCAACAGTTTTCAAAAAGTTAAACCATAAAAAGCATTAGCTGACAAATTACTGAAAAAGCTTTCTTTAACAAACACAAATGAAATCTGGTAGACTTTGAAATTAATAAAAAAAAGGCAAGATGCTCATCATTTTAGCATTAACTGAGAAACAGCTAACTTTATGTCTATACAACACATCTTTTAAACTTTAATAATATTAATGAAATAATATTGCTGCCATTGTAATGATGGTTGCTGTGCTGATACTGGGGTGTTGAATCCAAAGAGAAAAATCCTGGTCAGTTACCTGAGACTTCGCCTGGTGAAGGCGCGGTCCTTCCGATGTTGGAGAGCAGGTGGTCAATATTGGGCACAGGCTGAGACTGCACTGTGCTCTCCTGCTCAGCTGTGGTCTGGAGTTGCACAGGAAGGGAATAACAGAGAGCAGAATGAAGATAAGTGACCGAACCAAACAAATAAAAGTGGAAAACCATAAATAAGGTGTGAATTCCATTTGATTTAAAGCTGCATTGACTGATAAATTGAAAAGATTAATTGATTTAGTTCTGTTATGATCTGCACCAACTCCTGAGGGAAATATTAGGTTCTTCAGCTACTAAATGCTTCACTGGGTTCACCAGCTAGTTGCTAAATGTGTGAGTCTGTTGTTGTTGTGTGGATAGGTAGTATAGAGGGTAGAGTTTTTGCACTAAAAAGGGCTTTCTGCTGCATCTCAAAAAAATGCCATGAGAGCAGTGAGGGTGAAACCAAACATAAGGCTGGTGATTTTCTATTATTTTCCACAAATCCCATACAGAGACTGAAATCAACAATACATTTCCTGTGCTCACAGTGATGTCCAGAACCACATTTAGTGTATTTGTCAGTGCAATAAGACCGACACTGTCATCCAAAAAAAATATTAAAATCACACCAGTGAGCCACAGTGCTACACTGGGTGACATGGGAGGACTATCTTTTTGTTTGTTTTTTTTTTTCTTTCAAAAAAAGCTCCAAAGAATAATAATGACCATAGCGTTTTATGGTGTCTTAGGTAAGAAAGAGTCAACTGCACCTTTTTAGAAACAAATGCTGGTTTTGTTGGTTTTAGTCTCTGTATGGGATGTTCTGAAAATAACAAAAAAAAATTGCCTTATCCTTTAAAGTGGTGGGCTGGAAAACCAAAATAATGAGCTGAAAGAAGCTAAAATGCTCTGGATGCTACAGAGTCAGGGATAATCCTAGACAGGTGGCAAATTAGAGGAAAAACTGCAAAAAGGAGTGGTCTCTTCCAGGGTGACACTGCCCTCACCATAGGGCACGGGGAGTCTCTGAATGGCTTGATGAGTATAAAAATTATGTGAATCATACACTATGGCCTTCACAGTTACCAGAATTTAACCCAATTGAACACCTATGGGAGATTTTGAACCAACTGGTTAGAGAGCATCTCCACCACCATCACCAAAACAACAAATGAGGGAAAAGCTTTTGGAAGAATGGTGTTCATCCCTCTACTAGAGTCCTGAGACTAAGAGAATCAATGCCAAGGTGCACTGAAGCTGTTCCGGTGGCACGTAGCAGCCAACACCTTACTGAGACACTTCAAGTTGGATTTACTTTGTCACCCGTCTGTATACAGTATATGCAACACCTTTCACATAATTCATTAAATTATTGTTCACATGAACATATTGATTAGTACAGCTAGAAAAAACATCTATAAAATAAACTAATTGTGATAAACATAAAGAAAACAGAAGAACATGAATTGCCACATACAACAGGGTCCTCCTCATCATCATCATCCATGAAGAACCAGTCATACTGTTGGATAAGGTTCTCAACTATTTTGCACTGGTCTGGCATGTGATTGACCATGTTGGTCATGTTGTCCTCAGAGGTTCTGACCAGTGTTGGACCAAACACAATTGCCAGGTTGCGAGGCTCCATCTAAACAGATGAGATTAAGACAAGTCAGATTTTATTAAATAATCTTCTAATGGGACACTGGACTTACACAGAATTGGAGGGTGTTATGTAATGACATTAATACTGACAGATCCTGCTAAACGTTATACCTTGTTCTTTTCACAGTTGTCAGATACCCTCTTGAGATGAGCACAGAGGAATTTCAGAGTTTCATAGTGATGATCAGGTAATTCATGGATCTGCAAGAATTGGCAACAATGAACAATTAATGGTACGTCTAACTCTCATGCTATTCAAATAAATGCTTCTTACATTAGATTCTTACTCACCAGCCTTTTGAGCTCCTTTAATCTCTCTACTGAATCTTCTGTTCTGTTGGCTTCAATAAAATCAGCATACTTTTCTGGTAAACAGAACAGAACTTTTAATCAAAACCACTAAGAAAATCAGGACATTAATTCAAGAATGCTGTGGTTTTTGTTGGGAATGTTTCTGTATTTTCAGCATCATCACAAGAGCTTACCATTTGTAAACAGAGGCTCCGGAAGTTTTCGAAAAAACGACTTAAGTAAACTACTGATGACATTTAGGTCCCGCCATTTCTGCAGACGAGTTAAAGATCAAGGCAGCATAATGTTAAAGCAGTCCTCCCAGTATAAACCAACCACTGCTAAAAGATGTTGTCAAGACAGACACACTATACGGGGCAACAAATTGTTGGCCACTCACATCTTCCTGGATGTCGATGTCAGTCATGCCTTTGCTGTTGAGCTCCTCCTGCATGCTGGAGATGGCAGCATTGTTCCCAGGGACTCTGTAGATTCCCGTGTACTCCAGCCCTCGCTCCTCCACCACCTTACAGCACACCTCCACGATCAGAGGAACAAACTGCACAACACACAGCAGGAAGACATTAGATATGACAAATCATTAAAGTCATTATTGTATTTGTTTGGAGGCAACGTGCTATTCATGTCTTCTGAACACTAAATAACACAGCATTTCTCTCAAATACATGACACTCACCCTATTAGCCTGTGCAGACGGACAGTCTTCGAGCCGCACCCCGAAAGTGACACCAGCTGGAGTCTTTTTTTCAAAGGGCTTCCTCATGATTCCTGCAATACCAATTTTCCAAGTACCTCTGTCCCTTGGTGGACTGGAGTCATCTGGCAGAGTACATAAAAAGATGTACAATAATTAGCCAGTTGAGGTTAGATGTGCCCTCTAACCAAACTGCATAACATTGCTCAGCATTTAGAGCTAGCTTCTTTACCTTTGAGCGCCCTCCGTTCCTCTCCTGATTTTGGAGAATGGGGACTGGAGATCTTGCTGTCTGCTCTAGTTCCCCGGAAGGCTTGTTTTATGCTGAGAGACTGACGGGAGGTTTTGGGGGAGGGTTCAGACCTGCTGCTGGGTGCACTGATCCAGATAAAAAGTTTGAAAGAAGAAAAAAAAAAAACATTTATCTTGACACCACGTAATGGGTAAATAATTTAAAAATGGGTAAACAAGTGGTAAACTACTCTTGATGATCCCCAGAGTGCAGTGTTGAGTCCAGTATACCTCATCATGTTGTATTCTTTGATCTTTCGACTGATCAAGTCCTGGCTTGTTACAGCGGCACTCTGTGACGACAGACAGACAGGAAGTCTCAGATGTTAAATCAATCAAAATATTGGTTCTTTAAAACTCAGTAAATTAATAGCTTTTTATATGTCTGAACAATAGTCACGTTACCTGATACTTCTCATAAATGCCAACAAAATCATTTTCTTGAGAGCCTTCTGCTTAAAAAGATAATTAATAGCAACTATTAATTTCAAAACTTTTACTATGTGGCAATCAGGAAGCAGTCACTCTGACAGATTGGCTGACTTACAGAATGGAACCCAGCCCAGAGATAACCACAAAAGGCAAACTACAGAAAGGCCAATAACTGTACAAGTGACACAAGTTTGCTTTGTGAGCCAAGTGACCAGCTATCTTCTGAAGCCAAGAGAGAATATAAAACACTATCAAATTAACCAGTATAGGCAACGATGACACACCGACCTGTATAGTCTTACAGCAATTGTAGTTTACAGGAAGCCCAGATGTTAAAATATGATTATACTGTAGCACAGTATGAAATTTGACAGCATAAAGATAATTATGTATTATATAAAATACTACATTAACCAGGATACAGAGATCCTACAGAAGCTTTTAATTTAAATATGTTGAGGCGTGACTGTATTTTAATGTTCTGATCAGTAGTCAAAATGGTCCTTGCTGACAACAGGGGCAGTCTTACTGGCCAGTATCTCTACAACACGTTACAAAAGTACACTAAATTTCCCCTGCTTTTCCTAATATTTCCAATCCTAACTAATCATGTGCTGCCAGACCTGCAGTTCATATACCAGAATGAACTACTGCCAGATGATATCAGTTACATAACAAGGTTCTGCTTGGCTCTCAGTCTGAAACTGAATTTTCCCCTCAAACCAAAGTACCACCTGTTCTTTCTTTGTTCTGCCCGAGTACATCAAGTTTCCTGTGACACCTTATTTTATGAATAAAGGCTTTAATAAATTTCCTCTGAATGAAAACTCCTTTGTATGTCATTCAAAAACAAACTTTACTTCCCTTTGTTGTTAACCTGATGGGTGTGCCTGTAATTTCTTTCAAAACTTTAGTCAAGTCTGCTCTAAACTTGTATACAGCTGACCACAAGTGCTAAGCTTTGCCCTGATGACATTTTACTGGATAGAATGATGATAGGAACCCGAAGAGACAGACCCTCCTTTTGAGATTTTAAAACTTCTGACAACAGTACATTTTTTTTCTCCACACCTCTATAAATTTAGTTGGAGGTGAGACTATAGGGGATAAAGTCCTACTCATCATGTGGTAGTAATCTTAACTTGGCTGCTCAGCTAAGTCTTAGTAGAACACACCTCTTCATCTGGGTTACTGTTTTCCTGAATGACACTGATCCAGGACAGCATTTCATCTCTCCCTTCCGCCTGGAACAAATACTCGCAGTCTGAGGTGGTTAGTCGCAGCACGTTCTTCCGTTTTGTATCACTATAAGAGATGTCAATCAGACAGGCCTTGATGCTGATTCGCAGTGGGTCCTCGTCAGATTGCGTTGAAGTGCGACTCAGGGCATCCTTCCTGTCTTTGTAGAGGGTCAGGTTGTAACCTTGTAAAACAGCATACATCTGCTTCCATGATCTCATCCCACCTCCAACACGCTACAGAGACAGAGAAGCAATAGAGACAAAGAGTAATATTTACACATCAAAACATCTGTGGCATGTATGAATGTTAAACAAAAGCATCAATGTACAGGCATAGATACCTTATTTTTATCTGTATTAAGTTGCCTAAAGCTAAGCAACCCTTCTTTGGATGAATCGCTGAAGACGTCTGAAGAGGAATCCCTCTGAGATGCAGAATCCCCAGATGATTTATGTCCATCTAGAGCCTGCAAATGTGAATAAACAGTAGGCCATTTTTCAGACATTAGTTGACAGTAGAGTGTGACATGAAACATGGGAAGAGTGAGAGGAGAAGACAATGAGCAACAAAGATCTCCTTGTGGAATCAGACTGAGAATGTCACCAGGACACTCCAGTAGCTTAAGCTTGCATCTTAAAACAAAGCCACAAAATCAAAATGGTGTCAAGATACTGTATGCCACACACCACGTCACGGGGATTCAATGAGTGTTCATAATTAATGAAACATGTAGGTTGTGTTAAACAGAAGTACCTGCATTGCAAGTCCCATACTGAAGCCCATTTCACACTTAACCAGTCATATATTTTCCAAATATTCATCCAAACTACACTTACATTTGTGAAGTGAGGAGGACATGGTAGTCAAAGAGCAATTTTATTGTACAGTTCGAGGTTTTTCACCTATGATGTAATAGAATTTACTTCCTCAATTATGTTCAAAACAAAACTGGACTTCATTTCTCCTTCTGGTTGTGTTATTGGGGCTATAGACATTTTGATAGGGTACATGTATAACAGCATAAGAAACTCTGGCATGGTGTGCTTACACCCATAGTTCCTCACCTTTCTTAGGCCCTTGAGACTGGGCATATGCTTACTGGAAGATCTTCTAAAAAAGCAGAACAACAATAGAGAAAGGTGGATTTCAAGTCAGACACAAGGTCAGTCAGAATAAAAAAAAGAGCTATGACCTAATGCTGGTATGCACTCACCTTCTGACCTCCTCCTGGTAGTTATCCAGACCCTCATCAAAGGATTTGGACCGCTCTGTTTTACCGGTTGATTCAGACTCCAGCAAAGCACTTCTCAGGGACTCTGTACAGGGATACAAAATAGGAAATTATGTTATTTATTGTTTATAACCCACATTAATGAGGGTGACATTAAGCTCTCAAAGGTGGGATGGCTCTTTAGCTCTGGTTTAAACAAATGTTAAAATTAAAAAAAGTGGTGCTGAGGTACTGTGATTTACTGAGCCAGTGAAGGTGAGAGTGTCAAAATAAATTAATTTAAAGACTAAACATGAAACCCGAAATTTTAAATGCTACAGTTACAATTTATATTCAAATGAAAGAAAATCACAGATAAATCATGTAAGTGTGTAATCATTTCAGCTACTTAATGGAAAATTTCAGTGATTTCAACAGTGTTCTTTCAGAGCCAAGCCTTGCTTCACACATCCAGCGCCCAACCAACCCAATGCTGTTTACCTTGGTCATGTGACAGTTGGCGACGAATAGTATGGCATGGTGAGCCTGGAGTGGATGGGCCTGTAGTTACGGATGGTGCAATAGATATCACAGCAGAAGGTTGAATAGGAGCGGCCTCCTGGTCGACACTGGGGCTGACAGGCTCATCTGTGACAATGATACAACATTCAGTCAGGGCACAAAGTTGTTATTTTGTGAATATTTGGGCAGATGTCTTATGGGTATGCTGTTCTGTCAAACTAATCAATACTATAGTTGTTTTTATCCTGTGTCTCATAAACAGTAAAAACTGCAGCCCTGCTCTGTCTGAACATCCTTATATCCAAAATTGCTTCAGCATCTATCATCTGTGGGAAAAATGTAAAACAGCCTGTCTGTGATTTCCATGGCTAACATGTTTCAACACAGCTGAGAGTGGGAGAGTGGGAACAGATCATCTTCTGACATGTTTTTTGAGAGACAAGGAAGTTCTTTCCTACCACCCACTGATGGCACTTCAAGACTGAAACAGCTCATAGTACAAAGGGGCTTTTGGAGCTAAATTTAAAAGCAACTGTCCTAGTTCCTGCCCATATGCAACTGTGAAACAGGGCAAAAGAAAAAAAAAAGTTAGACTCCTTAACAGTACCTGTTGAGCTACCTTACTAAGGTTTTATCCATAACTTATACACAATGTGTAGTTGTAACAATTCCATTTTTATTTACCGTCTCCAAAACATAAACTCTCCAGTCCTCTACTGTACTCTGCATACACCCACTCCATAACAAAGGACCAAAACACAGAGTGCATGCAGTGAACATTTGATTCTGACGCACAAATATCTCAAAAAGAAAATAATAATTTCAGGTTTCTTCAGCTACAGTTTCCAGACTCACACCACTGACAGGGCATACACCAGGCAGCTTGGTACAGCAACACCTGAGGGGTTCAGCCACGGGACCACACTATACATTCTACAACATTATGAAGCAGTCAAGGCATGTTCACCCTCCTGTACTGTAAAAAAAAAACTACATCAGATATGATATAGTCACTGTAAACAATAACAGTGCAACATTTTATATTGCTCCAGAAGAATGTCACAAAGCTAAATGAGGATTTAAGTGTATCCAAAATAAGACTGTATAGATATGTATATAACACAGTTTAAGAAATTATTCCAATTAACAAGCAAGGGTAAAATTTCATATTCACTGCAAAATAAAGACAAAACTATCAGCCCTTTCCATCTAAAGAAGACAATGGATAAAAAAGATGCATAGCCCCCAGTCGATTAATTGATGAAAATAATGATTTGGGCCCTAGGACCAAATGACCTCAGACTCTTCACACAGGCCATTTATGGTTGCCAAGTAGTCTGTTCAATCAGGGTACTGTTCTTCTGAGCTGGGGCACCAGTCCCAGAATAGTGGTGTTGTGGCATCATCACTGTCACTGCCTGCTCTGTCTGCACCTGGACTGTCATGCCTCCTTAACAACCAACACTATACGGACCACTAAGGGAACAGCAGAAACACTGTTGGCAGGTGTACTGTAGTGACCTTACTGCACACCCAACTTGAAATTGTTCCATATCACATTTAGTCAAGACTAAAAGCTTTAATCAAAACTTCAGCACTGTGTTTAGAGGGTTACATGACCTGGAGCAGGAAAAAATGCAAAATGCTGAACCTCAAAATGCTTACCAAATCAATGACAAAATGAACTCTGCAAAATATATTATGGCTTCAAAATGACCCAATTTTAAATTCTGAAGCAAATTCTTCTGCCATGGGTCAAACAATAACATAACAGCCCTGTTGCTGCCCGTGACCTAGATCCTGCATACAGTCTGCCTGCAAAGTACAAAATGTTTCTTTCGAGTCCTTCCAAAACAAAAGCAGATCAGTCTTCAGGGACAGCTGACTTAGGGTAAAACTACCAACAATATGCTGACTTGGAGCTTTCAGTTTTAAAACAAATCTGTCAAAAGTTGCCTTTTGTTATCAGGGACTGATTATTTCTTAAGAGAACCAGTTTAAAGACACAAAAATAACATTAAAACCAAAAACAGCAAAACTATAACAGGACGATTAAAAGGATATCTGCTATCATGGAGCCCTCGCTTTTCCATTTTACTGTATCATAGAAAAACTAACAAATTCTGACACCCTAACAGAGAGAGAGAAAGAGAACACAAACAGATATCAGAATATAACATATATGATGCAAGACATGTTTTATAAATCTCAAAAGCACACTCAGTCTAGCCTCCAGGAATGTAATGAAAGAAATGTTTTCATCAAGAAATGCCAATAAGCACACTACTGATAGTTCTTATTAATTATCAATGTTTTCTCATTGCTGAACTGATTACAAAAGAGTCTCTAAATCGAGACTGATTTAACTACATTAAGAAAAGTGTTTGGTGCTATTTCATAACCTGATACAAAGCAACTAAAAGCCAACCATTCTCACAACTTCTCAAACTCTATGAGCCAAAACAAATTTCAAACTGCTTTTCAGAGTTCTGCAAACACTGTGCAAGATGAGACAGCTACTATTTAATCATCAGGAAATACATTATGGGACTACTGAACCATAATGCAACCCATTCTGAAGTGAGAACATCCAAGAAAACAATGTATTAAGAAGAGAAACAACATTTTACAAAAGCCAATCAATCCTTCATTCCGCCTCAGTTAAGCCGAACATCCCCTCTCTGAATGCCACAAATCCTGATTAATAACATCTTCTCAGAAAGATTAATTAATTTGTGAACATCTCCCAGGCACTGAATACACACACTCCAATAATAAAATCAATTAGATTAACAATGAAACTATAGTGGTCTGTTAATCCAAGGCCCCACTGTCAGTTTTCCAATCAATTAAACTTATTTATATTAGTACCTATGGTGGTAGCTCTAACTAGCCTCAGTCTCATCACATCAAGTGCTCCTCATGTTACTACTATCTGCTATTGTTGCCATGACAATGTGAAATGACTATGCTCGCAAATGATTATTATCTTACCGATGAATGGTATGGAGTCGAGAGACTCATCCAGATTGCTAGAGCAGGAAGTGTGACGTTGTTCCTCAAGGCGACGTATGTGCATCTCTCGACGTGCATCGTTGGGAAGCCAGCACGCCACCACATCTGCTGTAGAATCTCCTCCATCGTCATTTACAGCCAGGATATAGGAAGGCTGCCGCAGAGGGCTGGGGTTCTTTCCAGAGGGTGGCTTCTCCCTTAGAACGACCCCGGTCTCTGTGGGGCTTCGCCCATTGACCTGACTCTGGGAGTCTAGGGTGGGTGGTCTATGGATGCTAGGCCTCTGAGGCTTCTGTTTCGGACTGGAGCATGAAGAAGACCGGTGTCCTGTCAGTGGATCTCTGTTTGTCTCAACAGGCTGCATGGTTTCAGCCCGCATCCTGCTCTGGCTTTGTTGGGCAGGGTGGCCCGCATGGTTTCCTTGAACTAAAAGTCTCTGCTCAGTGAAAGAATGTTCAGCACTTGTGCTCTTTCCAAAATGCGAGGGTCTGTCTGAGATCATGGGTGAGGAGCGGGTCTGAAGAGAATCTGGTCCTTTAGAGTAGAAAGAAGGGGTTGGCGCTCCCTTCGTGCCACCGCTGTATGCGACAGAAGGCCTGTAGAGCATAGCGTGTCTGGGCATAGACTGTCTGCTGGGCCTTGTACTTTGGTCTGTCCTTCCATACCTTCCTCCCCTCTCACTGGGCCGAGCCAGCTCTGTTGGGTTGACATAGTCTATGGATTGTGCACGGGCTTTGTGCAGTATACCATCTTGGGACACACTTCGAGGGGGCCAGTTTCTGGCATGGCTTATCCTCTCTGCACCACTCACACGGTCCTGCGAGACACTGCGCGGGGCAATCTGAAGGCGGAGTGGAGGTCCTTGGAATGACCGTTCATGGGAGGTACTCCTCCGTCGCATCTCCTTAGAACCCCAGTCTCCCCAGGGAATGTGATGAGCACTAAAAGTGGTCTGACTGGCACCTCTCAAACTGTCCAGCCTCTCCTGGATAGTCCGACTCCCATGGGAATGGATTCCTTTGTTGTCAATGTACTCCCTGTATGTCTGGTAAGTGCGCCAATCAATGTTTTGATGGTTGGCTGGGTAGTGATGTGCCTGACCTCCATATGAAACTATTCCTGGACCACTGGGGTAGCCATCTGGTTTTCGAGGGTGAGGATACTGAGCCAGTGACCCAGGTCTCCCCCTAACAAAGACAGGGTCCATGCACTCTATCCTATGTCCTGGACCTATGCGCCCCTTATGGGATGTATTAGGTGGAACCACCACAGTCCTCACGCCTTCATTGCGCATGCACACCGCTGTCTGTTTTTTTGGATATGACTGAAGAAGAGGAGATGGTGGTACGGTGATCTCCTTGCGATACCCATGGTCAGGAAGTGCTGTTGGCCCTCGGCAGACATGCCCCGCTGAGTCCGTCGCTTGGGCCATGCCCGTAGGCTTACAGTCTACTCTGGGGTAGCATAGTGAGGGTGGCTCAGGAATGTAACAGGCATTTCCGCTGTAGCTACTGTGGCCACGGAGGTAGGCATCCTGAGAGTAGGCCTAGAGGTAGAAAAACAAACCGGTATTACAATAGACACAGTAGAAGCTACATTTGCAGGTCTGTGTAAAATTCAACAGTGTGCTACTTGATGCTTAGAGAGAAGTCAAGCTAAGGTATTACAAATGCTACTGAATGCATGTGTGTAGGCAGTGCATGTTACAGTACGAGTGTGTGGAGGCGTTAGCAGTTCAGGGGTGTCAGTGGTCTTCATCTGTTCCTTATATAGTGTTCTCTTGGTAATGTTCACTGTTTCATTACAGATACCAGTACACAATATACAGTCATGAGAAAAAGTAATGGCACTGCTTGCATTTTCCTGGTTTTCTGCATAAATTGGTCATGAAATGTGATCTGATCTTCACCTAAGTCACAAATATCAACAAACACAATATTTCTAAGCTGATAAAACACAAACAGTCATGATCTTTCATGTCTTAAAACATCATCACAACAGTGAAGTATGGTAGAGGAAGCATCATGATTTGGGGCTACTTTACTGCCACTGGACCCGGACTGCTTGCCATTGTGGAGGTTTATCAAGGTATCCTACAGGATAATGTCAGGGTGGCTGTCCGTAAACTGAAGCTCAGAACAAATTGGGTGATGCAGCAGGACAATGAACCTAAACATTAAAGTAAATCTACTACAGAATGGCTTCAGAGATACAAAATTCACCTTATGGAGTGGCCCAGTCAGAGCCCAGATCTCAACCCAATAGAAATGCTGTGGAACGACTTCAAGAGAAGCCGTTCACATTAGACATTCTAAATAATATGGCTGAGCTGAAGCAGTTCTGTAGGAAGAATGGTCCAAAATTCCTCCTGAACATTGTGCAAGTCTAATCCACAACTACAGGAAGCAGTTGTTTAAGATTATTGCTGCCAAAGGTGGTTCAACCAGTTATTAAAACACTGTTGCCATTACTTTCTCCACTATCACTTTGTATGTTTAATGGGTGTGCTCGACAAATAGATGAAATATCACGACTGTTTGTGTTTTATCAGCT